ATTTGGCAGCTAACAACCATCCGTAACTCCAGTCCCAGGGGATCCAACAGCCTCTTCTGACCTCCACAGCAATGCACGACACGGGTGCACTCACATACATGCAGGCAATACACTCATACACAGAAAATAAAAATAATAAATAAAATATTTAAAAAGGAAAATCTAGACTGGATCCAAACACCCATTCTAGGCCTTATCAACATATTACTATGGGTACCAGGTATGAAAGAAAGAGAGAGAGGGAGAGAGAGGGAAAGAGAGGGAGAGACCAAACCAATTCAAACCAAAAAAGGCAGTAAGGAAGGTACAGATGTGTCCACCTGCTAGAGGAGCTAGTCCTTGGAAAGGGGTACTGAAATCAATGGAGGACAGATTTCCATATGACAGAGGCCCTATCCCTCCACCTCTCCCAACAGAAAGGATATTTCTTATTGGCCTTATCCTCCGTCAGACGCTTGAACGTCATTGAGCAGCTCTGGATGAGCTGGTCCAAGGTCTTCTCTGTGTTCATCAGCTCCTTCAGCTCCTGCCCCAGCTGCTGCTGCTTTGCAGGTCGGGAGGGGTCTTCAAATAGTCCCCTGCCTCTGGGAAACAGTAGCCCCAATGTCATTGTCAGTCCATATCCATGGTCCTCACCCCAGGGCTGCTGAAACAGCTGTACCAAGGAGCTGGTAACGGTCACATATCTCCAATGGTGCCTGCCCCTCACCCCCACCCCCAGGTTATGCAAACCCATGATAATGCCTAGCTCTGAGGGAGCTGCAGTGGTCTAGAACTTCAAGTTTAGGGGTAGATTAGGGATAAGAAACAAGTCAAAGCCTGAACCCCAGTTTTAGAGAGTGCAGTACACCCTTATGCCCCAGCCTTCCTCAGATGGTAAGGAGTCAGTGACCTCAGTCCTGGCTCCCCTGTTTGGGTTTCCTTAGGGATCAGGCCAGGTTCCTTTCAGATTTTGCAGGGGTGGAGTTTTAGAGAGTGCAGTACACCCTTATGCCCCAGCCTCCCTCAGATGGTAAGGAGTCAGTGACCTCAGTCCTGGCTCCCCTGTTGGGTTTCCTTAGGGATCAGGCCAGGTTCCTTTCAGATTTTGCAGGGGTGGAGATAGGAAGCTGGCTCATGCCTACTCAGCTCTCAGGGGATGTTCCAAAGCCAAGAGAGAGGGATTTGGGCAGATCCCTGGCCCAAGAAGCTGGGGTCCTCTCAGGCCTTTACAATTCGTAGAACTTCCCCACTCTGCCCCTTCCTGTATTCTCTCTTGCTATTACTCTAGCAAGTAACACCTGCTCTTCCAATCCACTCTCCAACACACTGGCTATGCTCCTGCCCATAAAGATATTGGTGGGCACTTGTTCCAGAAAAGTCACTCTCCCCTCCGCCCCAACACTCACAGCCATTGGCACTGGCTCCTGGCCCTGCCCACAGCACATGCACCCATCTGGTGGAACCCGGGCCCAGCCCAAGCACTCACACCCACTGGATGTTGTTCTTGGACTTCTTGCGGATGAGTTGGATGCCCTCCAGCACGTTGGTGATGTCATAGATGCGCCGCTTCTGCACATCCAGCACCTCGGCTGCCCAGTTCAGGTCCAGGACCCCATCCTCCGACTCACTCAGGAGATAAATGAACTTCTTGGTGAGCAGCCCCAGAGACGTGTCATACCGGGTCTTCTCCCCAGGAGACTTGGGGGCTGAGGAGGAAAGGGGCTCACTCACAGCTCAGGGAGAGCCAGCCTAGGGATTCTCCATGGATCCAGATTCACTAAGCAACACCTTTTCCCACCCTTCACCATGTGCCTTCCAGTGTGCAGAGCAGGGGGCCTTCACTATGGTAGTGCAGACCTGGAATCTACAACCTCCAGGTGACTCCCTGCAGGTCTCATGGTCATGGAGTGCTGTCAAGACCGGAAGCCAAGTGTCCCCACTCCTACCTAGTTCACAGTACTTTTCCACCATAGCTCAGGTAGCCATATCAACATCTCCAACGACTGCTTACGGCAGGGGTGGGGGGTTGGGGAGAATGTCACTGTTCTGAGCACTTTCCTTATGCAAATACCAGAGGCACAAATAGGTCAGTAACTTGTTCAATTCACTCAGCAAAGCTGGAATTCTGGTCTTCCTTCTTAACCATTATCCTGTTCCCCCAGTGAGGTAGGGAGGGAATGACAAGCCTGGATTTGAGAGCATTTTTATAGATGCGTGTCTGCGCTTTCTTTCCTTGTGTAGCCCAATAATTATGAGAGGAATCAGTCATCTAACATCAAATGGGGAAGTTTCAAGAAAAAGGTTCCTTTTTTTCAATGAGGTTGATGTTGCAAGATGACATCTCAGCTGCAGCCTTAAACCACAAGGGGACTTTGGCAATCCAGTGACTTGAAGTCACATAGACATTGGTGGCCAAACTAGTTTAAGTCCCAGATTCCTCAGGAAAAGGACTTCAGAATTCCTTAACACAGAGAGCCAAGTGTTTATCATGTACTGTTTTGTCATGTTCTGTGTCCACGCAGGCATTACTAACTGATCGATGCATTTGGTTTTTTTCTTTCTTTTTGAGACAAGGTCTCATGTAGTCCCACCTGGTCTGGAACTCACCGGATATGAGACCAGGCTGGCCTCAAATTAAAAGATCCACCTGCCTCTTTCTCCTGTGTGCTGAGATTAAAGGTATACAACCACCCTGCCCTACTCAATGTTTTGTTTGTTTGTTTTTCATAGTCCTGCTGAGCTTTAGAACCCTTAAGTCTTGGTTTGGAGCAACCTCTAACCAATCAACTAAAAAACTTTTTTTTAATTTTTTAAAATTTCTTTTTATTTTATGAGTGCTATGCCTGCATGTATGTAAGTGCAACCATATCATGCAGTGCCCTCTGAGGACGGAAGAGGGTGTTGGATTCCCTGGAACTGAAGTTATGGACAGTTATCCACCATGTGGGTGCTGGGATTCCAGCCTACGTCTTCTGCAAGAGCAGGCAGTGCTCTTAACTGCTGAGCCATCTCTCCAGCTCCAAGAGTAAACCTTCTTAAAATCCTAGATCTAGCTATGCCTCCTTTACATGGGAGAATTAGGGTTCACAGAAAAGGGGGAAACAGTAAAGTCAGGTGGGAGTCCTAACTAGAACACCATTCCTGACGCCCATGCATTTTTGCTGAGTCATATACCTTCAGTGGGTCTCTAGGGAAGTTAGTATGCCTGGACAAGCTGGCTGGCGGAAACTCCCCGTTTAACCAGAGTAGTCACTGCTCAGAGGTAATTCCCTCCAGCTTAGCTTTAGGAAGGCTCCAGCTGGCCAGCCTCAGGATTTTAAGAACCTTATGGTAGCTCAGACTGGATTAATCCAAGGTTTATCTCCCCTTGAATCAGTAGGTGCTATCTGCATGTGGGAGGAAGAGCCTGGTTAGCCTGGGATCCTCTCAGACTGCGTTCTTTTTTAGGAAGTTCAGATTGAAAGAAAAATTTTGTTTTTTGAGACAGGGTCTCACTATGTAACCCTGGCTGGCCCGGAATGCCCTATGTAGACCAGGTTGGCTTTAAATTGATAGAGATCTACCTGCTTCTGCCTCCTGAATGCTGGGATTAAAGGTATACACTACCATGCCTGGCTAAATAAAATAAAATAAAAAAATAAATTTAAATAGTAAGCTCAGGACTGGAAAGACAGCTTATGGGTTAAGAGCACTTGTTCTTGCAAAGAACCCAGGTTCTAGCAACCATATGGCAGCTAACAATCATCCCCAACTCCAGATCAAGGGGATCCAAAGTCCTCTTCTACAGGCACTGCATGCACAAGTGCACTTACATACATGCAGGCAAAACACTCACACATTAAAAATAATTTAAAAAAACAAAACAAAACAGTAGCTGGGTGTGGTGGTGCATGCCTTTAATCCCAGCACTAGGGAGGCAGAGGCAGGTGGATCTCTTTGAATTCGAGGCCAGCCTGGTCTCCATATTGAATCCAGGCCAGCTGAGGCTACAGGGAGACCCTGTCTCAAAACAACCAACCCCCCCCCAAAAAAAAACCAGTAAGCTCAGCCAGGTATGGGGCTGCTCGCCTTTAATCCTAGCACTTAGGAGGCAGAGGCAGGCAGATCTCTCTGAGTTTAAGGCCAGCCTGGTCTACAGAGTGAGTTCCAGTTGAGGCCACAGGGAGACCCTGTCTCAAAACAACCAACCCCCACCCAAAAAAAAACCAATAAACTCAGCCAGGTATGGGGCCGCTCGCATTTAATCCTAGCACTTAGGAGGCAGAGGCAGGCAGATCTCTCTGAGTTTAAGGCCAGCCTGGTCTACAGAGTGAGTTCCAGTTGAGGCCACAGGGAGACCCTGTCTCAAAAAGACCAAAAAACAAAAACAAAACAGTAAGTTCCCAAATAAACACTGGTCATCATGGTTAGCTGGGCAGAGCAGGTGTTCAGTGTGCAAGAGCAGAGTAAGGCTCTAGTCCCAGTTCCATTCACTAGCTGTATTACTTTGGCCATCAGTAAAAAGGGACATCATCCTATCAACTGGACAGGACCAAGAATATGGGGGCTGGAAAGATGGTTCAGAGGTAAACAGTAGGGGCTGCTCTTGCAGAGGACTTAGGTTTGAGTCCCAGCACCCACCTGGCAGCTAACAACCATCCGAAACTCCAGTTCCAGGGGAAGCCGACACCCTCTTCTGACCTTCATGGGTATTGCACAACATGGGTGCACTTACATACATGCAAGCAATACACTCCTACACATAAATTTTTTTTTTTAAAGTGAGAACACACAGGAAACCCTGGAGAAGGAGAGGTCTGACACAAACAACTGTGTGGGTGATTTGGGCAGGGCTGCCGCCTTCTGCCCCACCCTGCGCCACCCTAGGTGCCCCATGGGAAGTTCTTACTTTTGGGGCTGGGCAGGCTATCCATTCGGATGCATTTCCCTTTGGGAGTCCGGAACTCAGGGACCGAAGGCTTCCCGATGCCCTCCAAGTCCAGCTTCCTTTTGGCCTTTGAGAGATAGGGAAAGAGGGGCGGGAGAGACAGAGTTTGAGAATCAGGCCTTCCTCTGACCTGAGGCCAGGGCAAGGAGACCACATGAGGCCACCTCCTGGGTCTGTCTGCCTCCAGTCCTTGGTAAAGAAACGTCAGAGCCCTTCGAGGTGAGTGTTGAGCATCTGTTACACGCGAGCGCACACACGCACACGCGAAGGAAGGAGTGGGCCGGACCTAAACCACATCAGGCTGGGGACCTGCCCCTTGCAGAAGCAGCTGGCTCAGACAGAACCTGTGCCCATCACAGCCCCACAGCTGGCCCTTATCAGGGTGAGGCCAGCATCCGCCCAGGCCCCAGGGGACTTCCTGGCTCTGTGCCACACCCCAGGGAGGTGCCCACATTGGGAAACAGTGCAAACATCCCCACCCCCATGTTTGGGCTTCAACTCAAGGGTTGGGGCCTCCTGAATAGACTGCCTGCCATTCTTTCTTTGCTCAGACACAATGAATCCTTCCCCAGTGTCTTAAGGACAAGCAGCTGAGGCCCTGCTGCCCCTCCCCATTCCCGCCAAGCTTGAGAAACACCTGCTGGGGAAACCAAACCACAGCCCATCTGCTCCTCTCTACCCGGCCACCACCACCACAGGGCCACAATGAGGCTAGAGTTGCAATGCCCGGAAAGGGCCTCCCTGCTGGGTTACGGCTGGGCAGGGATGGGGTGGGGGCAGGACAGGGCAGGGTCACTGGGGCACTGGGGCATTGGGCAGAGGGCCAGCCGGAATCTCCAGCACCTTCATAGGCTCACTGTGTCACCTAGGAATATGTCCCATAACTAAGCACCTCAGTTTCCTGGGGTTGAACATCAATGACCTTGAGAGTTGTGGCAAGGCCTCTGGAGTAATTTCTGGAAAGTTCTCAGCACGCAGCTCAATACACAGTAGGGGACTCAGGAAATACAGTCTGTTCCCCAAACCTCATCTTAATATCTTCCTGGAAACACCACACCCTCTGAGGCCATTGAACCTGTTTCCTTCCTCTGTCCCCCAACACCCCCACCCAGCTAAGAGTTCTGTTTTAACACTTGGTGAGGTCATGCTCCGAAGGGCTGAGCCTTCCAACTGCTGCTGAGCACAGCTGGCTTGACAGGTGTCAGCTCCCCCTTCCTCCACCCCCTCCAGGAAGTCTCCCTGGACTAGATGCCACCTCTCTATCCCATACCCAGGCGCAGAAAAAATCCAAATACCTCCCAGCTCATTCCTCTTGAAGTCTCTCTCCCGAATATTCCTCACCCAAGCCCTAGACTCCTGAGGATCTCTTGTCACTGAAGAAAAGTCTAGCCACCCACTCAGACCTTCCACCACTTAGGAGCCAAGTCTCAGCATCCAGCCCTCATTGAGCCTCCAGCACTACCAGTGTAATCAGTAGCTGGTAATCAGTGTAATCAAGGTCAGGTGAGTACCAAGGTCTTCGTTTTTAATCAAAGTGGTTCATTCCAGCACCCTCCATCCATCCAAGGGAAGGGAAAGGAAGGGGCAGGTCAAGCCAGGTTCCAGCTCATCCCACACTCCTCCCTCCCTCACTACCTGCAGAGCAGGGGGCAGGAGGAAACCCTGCCCTGCCCTGTGCTGGGCCTATCCCATGCTCTCAGGGTTCTACAGTTTCTCACTACTGGCAATCTCTTGGAAGACAAGTTAATTCAGAGAGGTTAAGGTACATGCCTAAAGTCTCACAGACCAAAGCAGAGGCAGGATTTGAACTCAGGTCTGTCCAACTCCAAAGTCAATTACTATATATGCTGCAAGAACTCCATGCGCACACACTCCCCCAGGAACTGCTGGAATGTGGGCCAACACTTGGCTATGCCATCTACCCCATCACTCACACGTTCATACCCTGCTCCCTCCTGAACTCCATGTACTCCCAGGGAACCTAAGCAGAAAAATGTCCCCCATCTAAGGACATCTGGCGGAAAGCTATAGGCATTGCTCAGATGATAAATCAGCTTGTGGCTGGGCTGAGCTTGCAGGGCCCAGGTGACAGAGGACAAGCCCCGAAGAGGCTTTGAGAGCAGGCCCTGGGGTCAGATGGGGTCAAAGCTAGACTGGCCCCATGCTTAGCTGGGATGTCAGGTGACCATGATCCACCTACAGAGTTGGGCTAATAGGCAGCACTTCTGCTGAGGAGTTAGTAAGGTGAGCTCTGCCCAGGCCAATGTAGGGGCTGCCAGCACTCAGGCAGAGCACCCCCAAGGGTAAAGTTCAAGGGTGAGTTGAAAAGAGACAGTAGAGGCTAAAGAGAGCAAAGGTCTGTGACTACACCCAGAGGGCAGTGTGGCTCTCACCTGGACCCTCTGGGATAGCCTCTTTGGCCTGGTTAGGATGTAAGTCCACCAACAAGCCCTTTTAGGTAGAGCACTCTCTGGGCTCAGGCAGCCCCAGAGAAGCAGAGGACCCAAGGGGCCAACAAGGTGGGCACGAAAGGTCAGAGAAGGGAAGTGACTTGCCCAAGGTCACAGAGCAGGGAGCCAGGTCATCTCAGACCTACATCAGGTAGTAGGGTGGAAACAAATTCAGGAATCACCTTGCCTTCAGCTCCTAAAGCCCCTCCGGTGGCAGGACAGCCTGGGGCTTGTTGCTCTGCCCCTGGTTTATGGAGTTCAAAAAATATTTATGTCCAGTCTACCTTCTCAGTTATTGGGGAGGCTGAGGGCAGGACTTTGCTTGGTTTGAGACAGAGTCTTACTATGTAGCCCAGGCTAGCTTCGAACTTTCAATAATCCTCCTACCTCGCCTCCCTAGTGCTGGGATTATGGGAGTTCAAGCCCAGGCTGGCAACACAGTGAGACCCTGACTCAAAAACAAACAGCATATTTTATGATTCTCAGAGGACATTTGGGAAATACAATAAATTAGAGAAACTGTCCTCATAGATACCTGCAGGGTTGACAGAAAATAATGCCACATGCCTGGTGAGATTTCAGATGGGAGTGTTCCCCAGCCTTTTCCAGAGGGTAGGAGCAAATACAATGAATCAGGGAACAGTAGCAAGGAGACCTGAGTTCTGCCACTCAGTTTGGTTGCCATTCCTTTAAAGGCTAACTCCCCCAACAAATCCTGTTCACCCCGAACTTTGCAGCGTGGCCACAAAGCAGAAGGCCACACCCAGGGTTGGGTTTGGAGCAGCTCCAGGTCACACCCTTGTAAAATGAGTAAGCAAGGGGTAGGTCTGCTCATGGGGCTTCAGGGGCCTCAGCATCTGGAGATGGACCAGAGATGGGTTTTAGGCCTGGCAGGCCTTTGGGGAGTGTGATGCAAGGAAACACCTCCACTTTACCTCTGCATAGTTTCCTCACCTGCTTGGAGCATCTTAATCAAGAGACTGTGTAAAGAGTGCCAAGCAGTGCTTGGCACACAAGAGCCATTCTTGCTAAGATCCCGGAGCCCCCCTGGGAGGGTAGAACAGACAGATGCACTCGGGTTGGCGGGTTGGTCAGGGAGGTCCAAAGCAGTTCAAATACCACAGCTGTTACTGACACTCTACATCTGAAAGCAGGTGGCCAGAGATCAGCCACGGAGCTGCCTTTCCTGGGGCACCTAGCTCCTAAATTAGGCAGTTCCAGGATAAATCAAAACTGCATAGAAAAAGCTGTCTTGTAGGTCAGGTCACTCTACCCCATCTCCCTGTATGATATGGGGCAGGTTACATTCCCTTTCTGACCCTCAACCCCTACCCCATAACATGGAGCTACTTGGTCTAATGACTTCACAGGCTATACAAATGCATTAGGCTGTAAAAAGTTAAACACCAGACAAGGCAAAATAATAATTTTTGTAAGTTGCTTGATCTGTCAAATGGGGATAACATAGCTGTCTCTTGCCTTCCTACACCTGAGGTCATGGAAGGTGCAAAGCCTGACTCCAAAGGCAGGAAAATGAGCTGGGGTAGGTGCCACTTGTCTAATAAAACGCCCAAGACACAGGGGGTGGTCTTAGACTTGTACCCAGATTTACCAGCATTATAAATACCCCTATTATATATCTCCCCTCCCTGGGGCCTGCCTCCAAAACCTGGAACTGGAAGTGACCCTGAAGGAGCCCAACAACTACCTACGCACAAGCACACATTCAAAAAGAGGGAACTGGGGCTGTCAAGATGGCTTAGTGTTTGCTGTCACACCTGACAACCTGAGTTTGATCCTCCAGGACCCACATGGTGGAAGGGGAGAATTGACAATCCGAAGTTGTCCCAAGTTGGCACACACACACCCATACACATACAAAATAAATAGATGCAATTTAAACATTTTTTTAAGAAAAAGAAACTGAGGCCCTGACTTTTTCAAATACACACAGTGCGTTAGTGGTAATCAGGACCCGGAACCAGACTGAACCCCAACTCTCACCCCAACTCCTCCAGGCTCTTTCCTACTCCAACCCCACCCTAAGGTTGTTTCCATTCACATGGGCTCCAAGAATTTCACCCTCACAGAACACACCCAGTGTCGCAGCCCCATGTCACCACTCTGATGCCACACCGGGCAGGCCTGGCTGGCAGAACCAGCCAGAACCCTGAGGGATGAACTAAATCTGCAATTGCTATTTAGGAATAGACCAAGCTGGGAGAAGGACCTCAGACCCACACATGGGAAGGAGCTGGCTGGACAATCTGAAGTCTGTCCAAACCAGGGTGACCCAAGACCTCCCTGTCTTAAAAGTCACCAGGAAATCCCCAGGCTTGAAACAGCAGGTGCTGGTTTCCGACGCAAACAATGAAGGAATGAATGAATTGTAGCCATGTCGGTGCCTTGTGGACTCCCCCCAAGGTCATGCAGCCACTTCCAGACATAGGATTGGGTCTGCAGACTCCCAGTCCAGTGTTCACTGCACTGCACCACAGAGGATGAGATTTCATCCAGTGCCAAAACGAAGGGTCTCTTATTCAGATATTGGGGGCAATGGATAGTTCTGAAAACAGAGAGCACCTCTTCCCTCTAGCCTAACGCTACCTGTTTCACTCCACCCCCCTCCTCCCCACCGAGGAAAGCGTGGGGGAAGCAGTGGGGGGTCCCCAGCATTACCGGCAGCCGGCCTTCCGGCACACATCGCACAACTTGGGCCTCGGGTCCGTGGGGGGTGGCGTCCAGGCAGATGCCCAGGGTTGCAGTGGGAGGCACCACTGTCTGCGGGTAAAGCGAGGCGTAGTAGGTGGTGGTGGTGGTGGTGCCGGCGGGGCACGGCTGGGGGCTGCTGAGGCCAGGAGGCCACAATTCCGTAGGGCTCAGAGCCCGCAACCCCACTGCAGGCGGCGCGGTGGCCGGAGCCAGGGTCCGCGGCCCGCGCAGCATGGCGAGTGCGGCGCCCCCTGCCCACCCGGGTCTGACGCGCCCGCTGGGCACCTGCGGACTCTGCAGCGGCTCACGCGGCCCGCGGCATGGCGCGGACGCCAGGAGGAGCCGCCAATGGACGCCCGCCGGGCAAGCCGGACCCTCCCCTCCTGGCCCGCCGCCCAGCCCCGCTGCGCTGGGAGATCGCCTGCTTGGAGAACTCGAGGCGCGGGTGGCACTGCCAGGGGCTGGCCCGGCCGGGTGCGCGCCCCCGGGGGGCCGGGACGCCCCAGGTCCTGAGGGCGCGGGGAGGCGGGTATCCCGGGCAGCCTCGAGCTCGGCGGACACGCGTGTGCTCACACTCGAGGGATCCCGGCCGCCGCCGCTGCGCTCTCTGTTTGCACTCAGGTCCCCGAGTTTTGCTAGGTCCTTTTTCTTTTCTTCTTTTCTTTTTTTTTTAAGCGCCAAACTACGTGCCGCGAAATTCGGATCTCCCGCGGAAAATGCCGCGCTTCGATTGGCTGGGCAACAAATACAGGCTCCGCCTCCCCCCGGAAAGGACTGGTTTGAGAAACTGGGATTGCAACCAGAGCAAAGCAGCTTAAAGGGGCCGCGACACCTGCTGCCAGCGTCCGAGGAGCGAGATCCAGTCGGAGGATGATTCCCGGACGCGCGGTAATAGAGACTGGCAAAGTAGTGAACCGCACGGAAAAATGGCCCCAGTTCCCTGGGGTCGGGGGACATTTGCATTTCCCAAGTCACACGACGTTTTGTTAGTCTGTGTTGTTGCTTAGATTATATGCATTTATTAATATATTAATATTGTCCTATTTCCTGTTCAGAAAGCCAAGAACTTGTTCCTTTTCTTGGCAAAAGGGGAAGGAGAGTGGAGCCTCACATTTATCCATTTTCAAAGGGAAAACCAGCATCTATTGAGTGCCTACTGTATGCTTACAATTCACCAAGTTTAGATCATTACATGTGTTATGTTGTTTAATTTAATCCAACAATCCTGGAAGTTGGGTGAGTAAAGCCAGGGAGCTTGAGAGGCCCGATCATTTGCCTAGGGTCATAGGGACAGATTTGCTGATCCCAGAACTGGCAACTCAATCTAGGACAGTCCAGCTTCAGAGTCCTTGTTTCTTCCAGTAAAGGGTTCCTCCCTGATTCTCCCAAACGCTGCCCTGCCCTGTGAAAGCGTATCTTGAGTGAGGGTCTGTCCTGCAGAGCTCTGACTTGGTCATCAGCCACCTTCCCAGGACCTCAACCCTCAGTAAATACTTAAATACCACCAGATTTCTCCTAAACAATTCTTTGGCCATTAACAGTCTTCCTCCCTCATTCAACTCACACCCCCCTGCCCTTTGTTGATCACCCATTTATATTTTCATCTCTTCAGTTAAAGAGGCTGGGAGAAGTGGCCTTGGGTGGCAAGTGACAGAGCCTCCAGCAGCTGCCTGCCTATTCAAAGTCCACTGTGTGATTTTTTTATGCAAGTCTGAGCCTTGGCATTCAAAGCCTTCCAGAGTCTAAGATCTCAACAGATCATTCAAAGCTTTCCAGAGTTGTCCCCAGGTTAAGACCTCAACAGATCATCAAGGATGGGGTAGCTCAGGCTAGCATACCTGAAATCGAAGCCAGGCCTTAAGTCTTTTTACTAAGCTGAGAGACAAGATTTTTCAATTCTCTGAGCTTTGGTTTTCTCATCCCTAGTAACACCTCATAGGACCACGGAGATATCTTAAGAAATAATAAGTGCAAAGCTTTCTGCACAGAGCCTGGTTCCTAGAGCCTCAAGAATTGGCATCTGGGGCTACATCTCTGACTTTATCTCTGGGACATAGACCTCTTTAGTCTGCCTATCTAACTGGTCCTTTAAAGTCCAGTTTAAACTGCCCCTCCTCCGGGAAGCATTCCCTGCCTGCTTCCCTTCTGTCATCCTGAAGGGCTCTTGTCCTTTTTGAACCCTTAACGTGTTCTGCCTCAAACAAGGCTTTGCTTTCTTGCTTTGAGGACCACTGCTTTCTCAGTTCCTTCAAGGGTCTGTATCAAATCTCTCTTTGAATGGGGCATACAGACGGTGAATACTAAATATTGATTACAGAGCCAGGTGTGATGGCACATGCCTTTAATCCCAGCACTCAGGAGGCAGAGGCAGGTGGATCTCTGAGATTGAGGCCAGCCTGGTCTATATAACGAGCTCCAAGCCAGCTGGAACTGTCTCAAAAAGACCAAAAAATAATTGATTATGGCTTACTTGTGTGTCCAGCAAAGAGTAGCAGTAGCTAGTGAGATTTGAAAGTCTGGAGGCTCCAACAAAGTCCTGCTCTCTACTTCCTAGCTGAGCAGCACTGGTCAGCTGTTGTCCCACCTCTCCAAATCTCCATTTTCTCAACCACCCAATACAGATACAGTTGGTACCCTGCCTCTGTCCCTGCTCTTCAGAGGCGTCATTAACACGATGGTGGAGATGATGGTTGCTTGTTGGTAGTGAGAACTGGCCATGTGCACTTTACCTCCAGCATCTGCTCTGATCCCCACAACACGCCTAAGAGCCTAGCACTATTATTATCCCCATTTTACAGATGAGGGAGCCTGGAAAGAATTGTAGCTGAGCAGGTTTGGAGAAGAAGCAAGGCCCTAAGGGCCAGGGAGGGAAACGGGGGTGGTAGGGTGGGGCTGGGAGAAAAGAAGGGAGCCAGCATCCAGGGGGCTGAGAGCCAGTTCTCTGTGGTTGAGTTTCAGGCAGCTGGGGTTGGCTTTGGAGTTTCACTGCCTGGGAACCGATGAATTCCTGCAAGAGGTGTGGGCAGGTCTCTTTGGGCTTGAATTCTTGCCCCATCCATGCTTGGTGTTGTGATCTCAGTCAGGTTGCTGGAACTCTAAACCCCGATTTTCCCATCTTTGAAGTGGAGATGCCAAAAGTGGCTGGCCTTCCATTCATTTACTGGGACAATACAGTAAGGTGTTGGTACTTGATATAAACACCCAGATGTGTATGTTCATGCTTATAGTTTGTTAAGGCCTCCTAACTTTTTTTTTTTTTTTTTTTTTTTTTTTTTTTTTTGGTCTTTTTGAGATAGGGTCTCCCTGTAGCCCCAGCTGGCCTGGAACTTGCTGTTGAGACCAGGCTGGCTTCGAACTCACAGAGATACACCTGTCTCTAAGATGTGTGCCACTACGCCTGGCCTATCTTATAATATGTACAATCTGTACATACAAGGAAACAGGATTTGGCATAAAGCTGCTTACAGATGAAATCAAGATCAAACATGGATCTCTGTCTCCCATGGCACTGAGGTCTTTGAACAAAGCATTCGTCTCAGAAATGTCTTGCCAATGAGCCGAGGGCTCCTGGGCAGCAGACACTGCAGGAGATGGAAAGACTGTGCCCATGCTAGATGGGATGGTACACACCTGTAATCCCAACACTTGGAAGGTAGAGGCAAGAACATCAGTTCAAGGTCAGCCTCAACTACATAGTTTTTGGCCAGCTTAGACTGTATGAGACCTTGTCTCAAAAAACAAAAAACAAGGACTGGAGAGATGGCTCAGTAGTTAAGAGCACTGACTGCTCTTGAAGAGGACCCCTGTTTGATTCCCAGCACCCACATGGTGGCTATGAACCATCCTTAACTCCAGTTCTGGGGGAATCCGATGCCCTCTTCTGACCTTTGAAGCATTGCATGACACCATGCAGTCACATACATGCAGGCAATACACTCATAAACATAAAATAAAAATAATAAATATTTTAAAAAATAGTGACGATGCCCACAACAGGGTGAGTTAGGAATGCTTAGGACTATTTTCCAGATGATGAAAAGAGACATGGGGTATTGAATGACCTGCCCGAGGCCCAGAGCTATTATCAAAACTCTTGTGCCAGAAAGACTCAAAGAGCCTTGGAAAGGTCCCTAAGCCAGTACAAACTTCCATTCTTGCTGGTGCATGTCATCCTTGGTGGATCTTCTGAAAGATGCTCAAAGTCCTGGTTATCAGAACCTAAAATATTGGTACAGGCTTCCTGAAGAGCTAGGAATAGTGGTTCAAGCCTGTAATCCTGGCACTCAGGAGGCAGAGAAAGGATGGCTCTAGTGGAGGTTACCCTGGGCTACATAGCAAATATCAGCCTAGATTGTCTCTAGCACACACGCACTTGCACACACATAGACACACACACACACACACAACACCAGGCTTCCTGAAGGTTCAGACCTCCTGTTCCAGGCTCCATCCCCCAGATGTCACCTGTCCAGATGGATAAAAGTCAAACAGATGTGCAAAGAAAGAGAAAAATCTCATCTCTGTGCTTCCCCTCTTAAACATGAATCAGTTTAGTAATGGAGGTGGAGGTTAAAGGGCTAGGGGAATAACTAAGCTCAGTGATAGAGCCTTTACCTAGCATATGTAAGGCCCAGAGTTCGAGCCCCAGCACCCCTCAAAAAACAGAGGGGGAAGGGAGAGTAAGGGAGGAAAAAGTTGTTACTTTCATAAAGTAGTGTTGATGGTAACACACTATTACAGAAAATTTGATTCATAGTGTTTGGAGTGTTAAGTGCAGAGAATCTCAAGGCCTGTACTCCTTAAGCTCTGTGCTCTTGTGAGCATCATTGTACCACTGTGTGCCTCAGTGCTTCTCCTGAAAGAAATGGGTCTAATTGTGGCTGTCTCCCAGGCCTCCCTGGAGAAGCTGAAGTGAATCTGAATGGGATATGAATACTCGTGTGAGTGTGTGTGTGTGTGTGTGTATGTGTATGTATGTATACATTTATTGAGAAAGCCTGTGATATATAAGCATGTGGAAAGATGCTTATGTCATTTCATTAGTCACTAGGGAGATGATCACTGGCATGGCCATCACGAAAGAGATGGACACTAGCAAGTGTTGGCCAGGATGTGGAGAAATGGGAGCTCTGTATACTGCTGGCAGGAGCGAGGGTTAGTGCAGCTGCTTTGGAAAACAGTTTGGCATTTTCTCAAGAAGTCACACACAGATAGTGCAGGGCTGTAATCTCAGGACTTGGGATACTGAGGCAGAAGGATCTCAGTTCAAGACCAACCTGGGCTACACAGTGAGATCATGTCTCAACCCTCCACCCCTACAAAAGACACACAGTTCCCATATAATCCAGCAATACCAACCCTAAGATATATCCAAGAGGACTGAAAGCCCTTGTCTACAAAAAAAAAAAAATGTGTACACAAGCTGGGCTTGGTGGTGTACGCCTTTGATCCTAGCACTTAGGAGGCAGGGGCAGAGGGAGGCAGGCAGCTCTCTAAGCCCAGCCAGATCTACTAGCAAGTTCCAGGCCAGCCAGGGCTACACAGTGAGACCTTGTCTCAAAATAAAATATAACAAAAAAGTATGCACAGAAGTGTTTATAGTCACATGATTGCTAATAACCCCAAAGTAAAAATAATAACCCAAATGCCCATCAATTGATGAATGGATAAACAAAATGAGCTCTAGTCATACAATAGAAAGTCTTTTTTGGTCATAAAAAAGAAAGAAAGGGGGGCTGGAGAGATGGCTCAGTGGTTAAGAGCACTGACTGCAGAGGACCCAGGTTCAATTCCCAGCACCCACAAGGTGGCTAACAGCCATCCATGTTTCTAGTT